GATTTGAGCTTGTGACCCTTCATTGTCCAACTAAACCAAATGGGTCTTAGATCAAACCACACAGACATGCGGCAAACCTTTATTGTACGCCTACTGTGCACCAGATTAGATCCCAGACATGAGAGGACAGGTCAAAAGTCCTGTCCTCAAGTTGTTCATGGTTTAGCCCAACCTATGAGATCTTGCCATCTCACCTCCTTCTTACCATGCAGAATCAGAAGATACCCAAAGATCACTAGAGTTTGTTGTCAATCTGTCAAGATTATGATTCTACAGATCAGGTAGAGGAGTAACTGTAAATGTCTTCAGTGACTTTTTGTGACTTTTTAGTTCGCAAGTAGAAGAAGCAAAAGGCCTCTGTGGTGCCCATCTTCCATGTAAATGGGGAGTAAGCCACAGAGATAAGTGGGCACACCTGCCCTGTCTCAACAGCCCATCAGGGGCGTCCCTTTAGTTCTATGACGCAAGTGGACACATCCATATTCAAGCAGACCAGAGAGCAAAGCCATATTAGGCATGAGCTTCTTTTTATTCATAGGCTTACAGAATATATCCAATTAAGAGGCATTGCATTTGTTAACTCTATTTACCAAAAAGAGCTAAATATATAATCAGCCTTAAAATTCATCCATTGTAGCTTGCATACTGTGAAATTTGCTTTCATATACATATAAGCTATTCTTATTTTACCTAAGTTATGCATTTAAAATACATAAAAATGTTACCAAATGGCATATGGGCCTATTTTATCACAATTTTATACATTCCTGATAGTCAAAGGGAGTGATAGGGAATGCACAGTTTCCTACTAGAAAAAAGGTAGCTTCCAATACAAGCAGTGGAATAATGTAAGGATAAGAGTGTCTCGGTTTAGATCTCAGTAGCTTTACCAGCATAATTCTTATTTTAATTAGCATTACAATTGGTTCTCTTCATTAATAATTGGCAGGCTGTTAATTTGCCTGGTCGTTCCACCCTCTACTTGCCTGGCTGAGGCAAAGGAAATCATTATTACTTTTTTCTTTCTTCCAATTCATTTCTACTTTCCCAAGAGTTTCCTCCACAGCCATCCGCCCTGCTTCTCCGCTCATTCCCTTTACATTGTCCCCCCTAAGTCTGGACTACCCTACTCACTGCGTCAACAACTAGATTATTGCATTACACTCCAGGGCGCTGTTTAACAGACTCTCTGGCCACTGCCTAGTTAAAGAACTCTCCTCCAAAACTGGGCACGAGGAGCTGTTACGGCTGCAGAAGAATCAGGAAGACGACTAAAGGGATTTTCTTTAGGTGGCATGCAAATAGACTCCTTTCCTGCAGACCTCCATCTCTCTTTCATTACACCCCTGGTCGGAGAAATTTCCATCAGGAGTGTTCCTGGCAGCCAAACCTCTAGCATCCCACGCTGATTTCTTTCCTAAAAATACAGAGCCTCTCACTCCACAGGGAAGAAAAATGCAACACTGCCATTTTCAGCGTGCTCCCCAAAGGCTAATTACGGCCGGGAGCAATTCATCATCACTCGTGCATTCGAGTTTTCAGTTTTTCCTTCATAGAACTCTTCTTGTTTATCTCGTGGACACTGTGACAAGAACCAGATGTGTCTCAACCTTAACATCTCTCCCACAGCTATGTGGGGGGAGAAACAACCGTGCCAGCTAGAAACCCTCTTTAGAACAGAAAATTATCTGAAACTTCTGGAAGACTTTCAAGACTGGGGCCTTGTATGGAAAAGCAGTTCCATAGTGTTTAATCGTTAAATGGACCGGTTGATTGAATGGTGTCTATTCAGCACTACTTTCTGTATGGCTATGCATATTTTGTTGCATTTTTTATTCTATCTCAAGGTGCTACTATATTCAAAATCATGATAAAAAGTCTTTCTTTGGAGGGCATGGCAGAGTGTCATAGACAGAAAATACAAAGCCTGCTGTTCAGAGATAAAGTTCGAGCTTTGAACTCACTACTGGATAATCTTGAGCAGGAAATTCACTTACATTTTCTGTCTATTTCCTTCTCTCTGAAATTAGAATGCCCTCCAATAAACCAAAGAATTATTTAAGAACAAATGAAATGAACACAAATGTGCACTGAAGAATAAAGCTTTGCCAAAATGTAAGGCAGTCTTATTATCCATTGCCCAAGAACACAGTGCCATTCACACTGAAGGCTTGTTTTCAGAGTCTTCTTAAGAGATCTATTCCTGACCCCATGGAGTTTGGGGACAAGTCCTTACTTTAAGGCTCCGTGGCTTGGCCACATGGCTACATGGAGGGAGACTCAGCCTGGGAGCCTAGCTACAGAGATTATAAAGAAGAAACAAGCTGAGAAGATGGTTAACTAATGGCTGATGGGAAGGAAGGAAGAAGCAAGAGTGGCCTCACCTAAGGTTATGTCCACAGGGGATGGTCCCACATGCCTCTCTGCTTTGGGTTTTTGTTGTTGTTGTTTGGTTTTTTGTCTTACATTATTAATGGAAAAAAAACTTTTTGCAGAAATTGTTTAAAACTTGAGGGATTCTTGGCATGGAGCAGTAAGGTTAATGAAGCAAAGCTTCCACCACGTCACGCCAAGAACATCTATGCTCCTTCAGTACGTTGGCCAGAACAAATACCTCCTCCCTCAGCACGTGGATTCTGTAGCTTGCAGATTCTGATCTGGCAAAATTTTTTCAAAAGAAAACCTGATTGCAGCTGACTGGATTACCCACCCCCTCACCCCCAATTACTTTAGATCTTTCTTTCACCCTCCAATGTCTCATGTGGACTCAGCAAGTCCCCCCATCCCAGCCCAGCACCCCGTGCTTCCTGGTTTTCCAGATTCCAGGCACTGGTTCCCAGTGTGGTGAGCACAGATGGCTAGCCCCTAACTTCACCCTCTGGGGTAAAGCTGGGAAGTGGGTGTGCCGCTCCGTAGAGGCAGCACCGTGAAAAGATGCCCCAGTTGCCTTCTCTACTGGTGGCGGGAATCGGGAACGTCATTTCCACCTGGCACAAGTGCTGGGACTGTTGAAACATCTCCTGCACTGTTTGCCAAGTGCCAGTTTTTCCACCCAGGCTTGTCTGAGGGGTTCCACGCCAGAAAGCAGTGCTTGCCCATCTTGACAGCCAGAGGACTAGCAGAGCTGTGCCACTTTCAGCCTCCGATGTGGGGATCTGGGCATTTGTCGTCAATTCAAATAAACCAGGAAGGCAAAAGAATGCAGAAGAGAGAGAGACTTGGTGCTTAAAAAATGAAAGCAAACCACTTTTCTCCTGTTCACTTGGTGCTTAGTAGGGAAATTTCAAGCAATAACGCTACAATGTGTGGGTGAGTTAGTTCATTAAAGTCCCTGGTGTCGCCGGCTGGAAGCCCTCAGCCTGCTGTCCCAGAATGTGCCGAGAGTGCTGTTGTGACATTGATGCATTGTTCTCTAAGTGCTATTTATTGCCTCGATCTGCATTGCTTAAATTCTGGAAACAAAAAACACATTCCTATTTGTGGCAAAACATCTACCTAGTCATGACTTGGCAAACAATCATTAAAAAATAAAAATACAGTACAAGGATTGTGCTATTCTCACGGCTAGAAGAGATGTTGTTGGGTTATTCTTTGAGAGTCATTCCCAAAAGCATTCACTTCATGTTCTCTGAAGAGGACCAGCTAACCAGGCAGAACATCCACCCGGAACCTTCCACAAAACCAGACCCTGTGAGCTTCCCGGTGGTCCACACCAGAGACACCCCTTTTGAAAGAGGCCACCCGAGTGCAGACTTGGTCTGCGGGATTCAGCGGGTCTGGATCCAAAGGTAGTCCCTACTCATCAGCCTGAGACCCACAGCCTATACAGGATGAGCAGCATGATGCCCCATGTGAGTGTGGGCCCCAGGGGTTCCTTTGCTAAGCTGTGGGAGAGGAAAGAGCATTGCTGTTAGGAGTACCCCGGGTCCTACAATTAGGGGCTGCAGCACCATTGGAAGGGCTGTGCTGACAGCAGCAATATCAGCAAATCTACAAGGCAGGACTGTCATATGAGAAGGGAGGTGGGCAGGTGGGCATTCAATTACTTGAAATATTAAGTTGCCCAGAGGGCCAAGATACGCATCAATCAACTGGCCATCCCTAGGTTTCCAAGTACACAGAGACTTGTGTAAAGTTCTCTTTGACTCCACATCTTACTTCAAAAATTCTACCAAATAATCATCAGATGGAAATATCTATTCTATTGCTCTAAAGGACAGAATAAAAAGCACCATTCAGCTTTTGTCCTGTCTGCTGGTTACCCACAAACTCAAAGGATGGGTCAGAGAAGCAGCCGAGTCATGGAGAGCATCAAACAAGCATTACTGCTCCAGCCATCACAGGGTCAGCTTTGAACCACAAGGAAGAGGAGAGAACTTCTTTGTGTCACTGCTGAACCTACAGCCCATGCTGGGCCTAGACATGTGCCAGCAGAACGTTTTCTTTATGGCAAAGGAAGGGAGCAATGTCAAACATTATTTTGTTAACACACCCGTGACGAGCATCCATATGAGCCAATGAAATAGCCAAGCTGCTGCTATTAAGGGGGATTCAGAAAACTGGGATGGCTCAAAATAGCATTGCTGAGTGTTATCAGATTTTTAAACTAATCATCAGCAAATCTTTTCAGCTGACTTTGGCTTTAAGCGTTCTTACCAAAAGGATCGCTAAAGTGGAATGAGAAGGGCCCATGGTTTGTTTGGTCTTTTTTTATTTCATTATAAGAGCTGTCCCATCTTATCCGATTTTCTCCTTCCTCATTAAAAACAAAACAGCATACTACCTTCCTAGATGGTAAGAGTTAACGCTGTACTCTTTTCTCAGTAATTACAGGCTTTAAGACGTCTTTTTAAATGGGAGAATGGACACGTCATGCAGTTAGCCAATAAATGCAATCCCTGATTAAAATGTGAGTTCTAAAAGTTTGGAAACTTCTAACTATTTCTTCAGTGCATTTTTAATTTCAGAGCTCTGAATCTGGCTTCTCTTTAAGTTTTTTCCTTGGTCCTCTCTCGCGAGAGCTAGTGCTACATGTCTTTTAAATTCACCAATCACACCTTCACAAACTTAAGTCAACAACTATATGTTCGAAAATCTTTGTTTTCCCTTTGAAACTGGATGCAAAAAAGAAATCTCTCCTGTCAGTGGAGACAGCTGTGAAGGAACGAGGTGCTTGCACATAAATTTCCCTTAATTTTTTGAAGAGCTGTTTCTCTTTATCCCACTGGTAGATCTGGGAGAATGTATAGTCACTCCCCAGGGCCAGGTAGTGATTCTCTTTAGTAGAAAAGGGCTGCAAGGTCATGGCTCCTCGGGACGGAAGAGCCTGGATCTCCACAAACTGCTTACTGTTCCACCGCATGACCCTGGAGTCCCCGATGAAGCGGGTGAGCGAGAGGTAGAGGGCATTCTGCATTCTAAAGCTCTTCACGGCCAGCACGTCCTCCATGTTGGGGATATCGCTGTGGGGGACAAACTTCTTAGAGCTTTTATTCCACTGGAGGATGATGGGCACCTGGGAGCGGCTGGACAGGATCAGATGCGATTTTCCATCTATATCGACAAACTCCGCATCTGTGTCCCTGAACCACTCGTGTAGAGACTGGTACGAGTAGAATCCTTTGCTGTTCCATTTATAAACTGTTGACAGACCAGCTTTAGAGCTGTCTGCAATGACGAAGAACGTCTCGTCCTCGATCTGAAACAGCTCAATGTCGTTGGGCTTGGAAATGCGAGAGACTTCTATGTCTTGGAATTTGACAAACTTGGTCCAGCTCTCGTCGTATCTGTAAATGTGAGAGCCGCCAAAGAGCTGGGCCACCACCACAAAGACCTGCTCGTCGATGAGGATGGCCTTACAGCCCACGATGGACTGACCTGTGCTCCAAAAGAAAGGAGAGGGGATTAGGGCAGCCACAGTTAAAAATGCTCCTTCACAGTGAAATTGGAACCCTTGAGAACTGCTAGTGAGAAATGTAACATAGGGCAGCCGCTATGGAAAACAGTATGGCGGTTCCTTGAAAAATTAAACATGGAACTACCATAGGATTCAGCAATTTTACATCCGGATCCTTACCCAAAAGAATTGAAAGCAGGGTCTTGAAGAGACATTTGCACACCCATGTTCATAGCGGTATTATTCACAACAGCCAAAAGATGGAAGCAATCCAAGTGTCCATTGAGGGATGAATGGATAAACAAATGCGGCACATACATACACTGGAATATTGCTTAGCCTTAAAAAGTAAGGAAATTCTGACACATGCTATAACATGGATGAATATTGAGGACATGATGTTAAGTGAAATAAGCTAGTCACAAAGAACACAAATATATACGATTCCACTTATACGGGGTACCTAGAGTAGTCAGATCCATAGAGACAGAAGGTGGAGGGTGGTTGCCTGGGTCTGGGAGGAGGGGAGAATGGGGAGCTGTTGTTTAATGGGTACAGAGTTTCAGTTTTTCAAGACGAAAAGAGTTCTAGAGTTTGGTTACAAAACAATGTGAACGTCTTAACACTACTGAAGAGCACACTTAAAAATGGCTAAGATGGTAAATTTTATGTATATTTTCCCACAATTAAAAATTTAAAAAAAACCCTTTTTTTAAAATGTGCCTCCACAGAAGTATGGTAAGTGCTGGGCTCCTGAGCCTCTGGCGACTTTAGAGGCCGGCACACAGTTCAGGAAATTCACTAACACGCGAAATGAATTGTCTTCCTGCTACTCTCAAAAGTATTTCCTGACACCATAGGGCAGAATGGGGCAATTAAACAGGCCTCTTCTCTTGGGGGGTAAGGAAGGGTGAAAAGGTAGGAGTCAGGTCTCAGAGGCAGGAGGAAAAACGTAATGAGGGCTTTTGAAGACATTTGGCCTCTTCTGATTTCCAGAGCCAAAGGAAGGCAGGATGGTGTTAAACCTTGTGACTCTAGACCACGTAGCCCAGGGTTCCAAATGCAGCCTCCCACCTCATAAGCCTCCTGACCCTGTGCCAGTGACCTCTCTGCGCTCAGGATCCTCTCTCTAAAATGAGACTGAGGACGCTACCACAGCTGACCTTACAGGGCTAGTAAAGACTAAACGAGAAATTTCACAGTCAGTGTTTTTAGTACAGAGCACCCCATACAGGGAGTGGTCAATAATTCATAGCTATCATTATTGTATAATTGAAGCAATTGTCTTGATAATCGAAAGGCCTAGACCCTTTAGCAATTGCCCCTAGTGGGCAGTGCATAAATACCTATAGAGTGAGCAACAATCTGAATGATCCCACTCAGGCAGCAAAAAACCAGAACTTTGCAGGAAAAGGGGAACATTTTCAGTGGTGTCTGGGCCACTTCCTCCCATCCTCTCCCACTCTGCACCAAGACCCCCAGCCCTTCCCCCACCTCCCCATTCCAGCCAGCAAGCAGTAGGACCACCCACGTCTCAAGGAGTATTGACCCTCCATCGAGGTCAGTTGATTCAGTTATTTCTTCCCCCTAATTTTCTAGGCAATTTGGACCAAAGTGAATTTGGCCTGTAAATTACAAGGATAATTACCCAATTTCTGTCCTTAGTATTAACTTTGGGGGCAGACGCTGGGTGGGTTTTAGAGCGGCATTTACTTCTCTCTTTCACTGCTTTGGCCTTCTGGCAAGAACTTGGTCTTTTTCTTTTGTTTAAAACTAATTATTGCATTTTTTTTTTCTGATTATAAAAGTCTTCAATGTTCACCAAAGCAAATTTTGAAAATAGTAATAGCTAACACATTATATAAAGTGCATACTATGACCAGGCACTATACTAAGCACTTTACATGTATTTATTCATTTAATCCTTACAACCTTATGAGGCTGGTACTATTAATATTATCATCATGATCCCTATTTTATAAAGGGTAAAACTGAGGCACAGAGTAGTTAAGTAACTTATACAAGGTCACACAGCTAGTACGTGGTAGAGCCTAGGATCCAAATCCAGGTGGTCTGGCTCCAGTCCACACTCCACCAACGTACCAAAGAGCACAAAGAAAATCAAAATCACTTGTACCGCAAATGCTGAAATAAGACTTAATATCTTGATATATTTCTTTAATTTTCCATCTATACATATACTCAAATGTACTTTTTAATAAGTCCGAATTTATTTATAGTATATACAGGGGCTTATAGTACACTCGGGCTTTTTATAGTCTACTTTTTTTCCGTTGACCACTATGTTGTGAACATTTTCCCTTGTCATTGCATTTTCTACAACTTGATTTGTTAATACTACACAGTATTCCATTGCATGGGTGCACAATATTTTCTTTAACTAATCCCCCTTTGTTGGACATTGCAATATTTCTAGTTCTTCATTATTGTAAGCGACATGCTTCCTTGTAGAGAAATCTTTTTTGAAAACCATCTGGCAGTGTTCTTAAATGCAGGCATTGCTGGGGCAAACACTGTGCACCTTTTTAAGGGTGGGTGTAAACTACCAGACCGCTCTTCAAAAGCTGCACTGACTCGCACCCTGCCAACACTCAGTGAGAACGCATGCTCCACATCCCCTTCCTGAGCCGCCTGGCTAGGGAGTCCCTGCTCCCCAGAAGCGCCCTCCAGGTCTGCCTGTCTCAGCCAAGGGGCCGGTGAGACAGAAAGAATGCCTTTCTTGGAGATGCTCCAAAGCACCTCTGTCCAGGTAAACACTTCTGGTGCATAGAGTTTTCAGTAGCAGCAGAGATCATCGTGTGTGTGTGTGCGCGTGCGAGCGTGCGTGCGTGTGTTCGTGTTAATGGAGGAAGAGAGATGAGAGTTTGAAACACACTTAGCATGCAGAAATCAAAAGGCAGACAAACCAAAAACAGGATAGCTGAGAAGAGACGTAGAGAGAAAAAGGAGATGTGAGAAGCAAAGCCTTGGGGTGAACGTGACCATGGGTTGCCCTCTCCCCCTAGAAGATGGATGGACAGCTGGAGCTGTCCCTTTTGCATCGAGGTCACCAGGACCACAGAGGAGGATGCCGGTGCCCCTCCCATTCCTCGGAGCCCCAGGCTTGCTGGGCATGAATTGAGAAAATCCTGCCCAGCCCTTGCCGACTCTAGGACCAGCCGCGATGAAACAAGAAGACAAATGAGGCATGCACAGCCCCGTGCGGGGAGAACGGGTCCGTGTTTCCGTTGGTCTTGTTCAAGTCAAGTGCTCCCAGGGCTGCACCTTGCTTACCCATTTGTCATCTGCCCAGCACACGTGCGCCCGGGGCTTCCCGCCAGGCTGCATTCCAGCTCGCCACACTCCTCCCTCCACCCAGCGACCCACCTACTTCTGCAACCACCCTCTTCTCTTCCCTGCCTCCCTCAGGCCAAGCTCTGCTGGTCCCTGCGTTCCCGTGCCTGTGAAAGCCGTGAGGAGGTTTTAATGGAAGTCAAAGAGTTAGGGTCTGTGCGGGAAGGAGGACTACTCCTAGTATTTTTTCCCCTATAAAACGGAGACAATAAATATACATGTTATGAAGTTGTTTATGTTATATGAGGTTTACATGAGAAAAGGCTGATAAATCACTGAGTACATAAATGTTAGCTGCCCTCCTTCAAATGAAAAATTATGTGACAGTGAACACGATTTGTGTTTAATGGAAATTCACGTATGGGAGCAGACACTCCATGTAAGAAGACAGATACCTCATTCCAATCAGGTCATCACGGAATGCTTCCTGTAGGAGGCTGCATTTGAGCCTGGAGACCCAGGTGAAGGGAGAAATATAAGAAAGCGAGGAGGCTGAATTGTAAGATGTGATCAGAAACCAGTAAGTGAAAGGAAATGGGCACTATGTATTTGGCAGGGCATGTTCGGACTCTGATGTATGGATTCTGTGTTTTCATGAATTAAGAGTAAAAGAGTAAAAGATCTAAAGCCGGTGACTTTCCCTTGTGGTGGTAGCAAGGAATGGTGATCAAATACCTATTTTTATCCCCACTGATACCCCAACATTTGCTGAGGATTCACTATCTGCCAGGACTGGGCTAAGTATTACACACATCACCTCCATTAAATTCCCAGGGGTCCAATACCATGATGAACCCATTTTACAGATGAAATGGAAATTCACGAAATTTCCATTTTACAGATGAAAGGGGCTCAAGGAAATTACATAGCTTGGCCAAGATCACCAGTTAGAAATCTGGAACCAGTTTTATCAAAAACCAGTCTGATGTTGGAGCTCACAAGCTCCAACCACCACACGGTGTAGCTTATTTCTTGGGGTTGGCTGTGAAGAGGATCCAGGTGGGCTTCATGCCGGGGCTGCCCACCTCTCAGGAGATTCAGACTTCGAGACTGAGGGGCTGAGGAATGCCTGGAAACTAGCGAGGTCCACCTGCCCCTTTCCCTGGCCACACACACTCGGATCACACTGACCGCTTCCTACCCCCCAGCTCTGGGGCCTCTGCAGGCGCCGGGCCATCAGTGCTCACCTGGATCTTGCAATAGCCTCTCAACTAGTCACCCTGCTTCCACTTTTGTCCCCCCACCTCCCACACAGACTCCTCTCAACCCAGCAGCTGGACACAACCTGGCACTCTGTACCAGGCGCCTGCATCTCCTGCGCAGCCCTGCTGACCTCTGCACAAAACCCTCCATGACTCTGCAGAGCACTTGGAGTAAAAGCCCAAGTCCCTCAGAGAACTTGCAAGGCCCCCAGGATTGGCCCTTCCCACCTCCCTGACTGTCTCCTGCAACTCCCCCTGGATCACTTTGTTCAAGTCGCACTGGTCACCTGAATGCTCCTCCAACAGGAAAGCTACCCTCCTGCCTCTGGACCTTTGCACTTGCTGTTCTCTTTCTGGAATGCTCTTCCCTCCACTCTCCATGTGGATCAACTCCTCACGTCCCACAGGTCTTATTCAAATCATACCTTTTTAATAAGGCCTTTCCTGCACACTCTAAAATTTCAATCCTCCCATGCCCATTCTTCAACTCTTCCTTCTCTGCTTTCTTTTCCCTTCTCAGCATGCTGCTATCTAATGTGTTACATGTATTAGAATTATTTGTCTTTTTTATTGTCTCTCTCTCTCATTATAATGTAAAATCCTAGACGACAGAGGTTTTTATCTGGCTTGTTCACTGCTACGGCCCTAGCACCTAGACTGTGCCTGGCTCAGAGTAAGTGCTCAAGAAATCTTCGTGAATGAATGAATGAATGACTTGATGACCCTGAGGACGCCACCAGCTGCAGTATGTCAGCAGGGCAGGTGGAGGGCAGTGCTGTCCCTTCCTACCACGGTCAGCCTGGGAGAGGGCAGGGGCGGGGAGCAGCAGTGACAGACCCTGGCTCTGCCTCGGAAGTAACAGTGGGGTGACCCCACGTGCCTGGGCCTTGCTCATTCATTTGTAAAGGTGTGAGAAGGCGGTTGGCATGAAGAACTGCTGGCTCTGTGCCTGGCACTCAGTGAATCCTCTCAACATTCACATGAGGAACGTCTACTGCCCATTTTACAGATGAGGAAACTGAGCCTCAGAGGCCATAGCTACTTTCCAGTACATGGCAGTCAGGAGCACAATCCACATTTACTGGTTTTCAAAACCTGAGCTTTTTATAGTCTATCTGCCCCGTCCCTCTTGAAGAGACGGCTTCTGTCCTCTACCTACCGGCAGGCAAACCACAATAACACCTCAGCTGTGAGTTTCCAACGAGACAAGCAGCACCTGGCACCTCACAGGCCCACAGCCAGCATTGGCAACCAGCACTGGCGTTGGAACCCCCTGTACAAGTGCAAAGCCTCACTCTGCTCCCACCTCCTACTGTGAGGAGGGAACGGGGAGGCAGAGGGGCAGCTCATTCATCCCTCACCTGTCTTCCAAGTCAGGAAGAACAGGGAAGCAAAAAAACACGGGTAGCGAGTCCCTCTCCCATCTCCCTTTTTCCTTTAATGTGGACAGGGTTTAGGGTCCTAAGGCCTGGGCTTCCCTCCACAGGTCCACCTGCACGGCTCTGTGCTGAATCTGCATTTCGGGCTCAGGAATGTGAGCTCAGCACTACGAGGCCAGCTGGCCTGACAGCAACAGCGGCTCATCTGAAATGGCATCTTCGGAGCATCTGGATGTGTGCCTCGCAGACTCTCAGCGCCTCGAGATGAGGCTCATTAGCAGCTCTGCTCCCCGGGGGTGAAACAACGCTCTCTCTGCCTCCCTACATCCTGGCACCTGCTGTGAAGCCACGGGGTGCCTGAGAGATTCCTAGGAGCCTCCTAATCCCGAAATTTCACCTAGACACGCTTCTCGCTGCTACAGCAAAAGGCTGCTCTAACTCTGAATCAGGGAGCGCTGAAGGGAATCCTCTCATAGGGCAACAATTAGGCTGTCGTGATGCTGCTTATAAAGTTAGTATTATTATCAGATTGCACTTTGGTAAATGAGAAGTCTTTGAAAGATTATTTTGACTGTATTCACTTATTTAAAAAGCAAGTAGACAGCCCATTTTTAGGAGCGCTAAGACACGGGGATCCCCTGACAGCATTGAAAGGAGCATTAACTAAGTCTCATCTCAAAGGCCTGAACTTAGGGAGCCTTTTATTCTTATTCTGTATGTATTTATTAAAGGGAAGCAGTGATCGCCAGGACCTGGCAAGGGGGCAGTAGGAAAAATCCATAGAAATGTGCACGTGTGCATGCATGTGTATGCATGTATGCGTGTGTCTGTGCACATGTATGTGTGTGCATGTGTCCACGTGTACATGTGTGTGTGTGCATGCACGTGTGTGTTAGCATGTTAGTTAATAATCAGCTTAACAAAAGTCAAAGGAATCTTTTAGCTGCTAAAAAGCTGGTGCAGTCTTGGGCTGCCGTAACTGCCCAGCATCAAGGGATTCCCCAGGCGACTTCTCATCACTATTGGAAAACGACTCCCACACATGCAACCCATCCCCGTCCCTTTTCAAAAGGATCGCCAACAATAAATAGGATCACCACCTGAGGTATCTTACCAACAACCGGCCATGTAGAGAAAAAATCAGAGAGATGAGGGGTGGCTGGAATTCATTCCCCAAATCTAACCGAGTCAGAGAGCCAAGCCCTCGCTCGGTATGACAGAGAACGTTTCTTCTCTCACGGGCTTTAGGCCGTACTGAAATTAGGTCAATACCCCCGATCAAAGCCGCAACACACCTGTAATGTTGTCATAGCTCCGGAAATTCATTTCGATGTGGTCCCACTCCAGCACCATGCAGTTCTCCATGCTGGGCTGAGCGATGGCCACGTACACGTCATTCTTGGAGTTGAACGTATCCACCGAAACCGACTGGTAGGGCAAAGTCTGATGAACAACAAAATCTGGGAATGGGTGTTTAGAAAAAAAGTCTCCATGAGCTCTCTTGTGGGATTTATCGACCACCATTACCCTTCGATCTTTCTATCATCAGTTCCACAGAGGACGGAGAAGGAGGGAGGACAAGAGAGAAGCAACACACACATCACAGTGTGTTTTACTCTGGAAGATTCCAGAAGGGTTCTGGCTTGCACAGAACTATCAGACTGAATGCACAGTTTCTAATACAGCTTCTTTTAGATAAATAGCTCACAAATTTGGCTAAAGGATCTCAAAGTTTTAAACAAAGGAGAAAGACAGAAAAGATGCCGCAGAGCAACATTCCTGAAACCATCAGGAAAATCAGCCTGTGAGGAAGGGCTGCACAGGTCACATTCGTTTGGGAAAGGCTGTATTTCTCGCCCTCTCAGAACAGCCCCGGGAGAGAAGAAACCCGTTCAGTTTTGTTTGCCGTGGTACGTCTCCAGCTTATCTGACAATGGGGTCCTTTACCATCTGTTATACCCTCCAGCTTGCACTACCCCTGGGGGACACACTGCCACTGCAGGTTCAAAACTAAAAGTGAACTCCCCAACGGCACACGGCACAGTGGGAAACCTGACCAAACCCCCTGAGACGGTGTCAGAGATTTATAAGCCCACAGTGCGGGAAGTTAACCTAAGTGTGTTTCCTGGTGACTGGACTCCGTGCAGTGGTAACGGCTGTGCCTGGGATCTGGACAGCGCTCCACTGCTCCACAAGCAGTTAGAGGAGATCGATCGGATTTTCAAGCAGCACAGAACCCGGCCTATCTGAGCACGTGTTCTACTCTTACATTTAGTGGGAAGTCAATACTCCTCGTCCATATCACTCCCCTGAGCTACGGCTGGCTCTCTGTAATCAATCTTGGTAGGGAAGGGACGATTTTACCAAGGAAAGGTGAGCATGCCCTCAGAAGCCAGGAGAGTTGGTATGTGGTAGCCAAGAACAAATGAAGAAAGAATTTAAAATAAAAACACTAATAAAGTCGAAGGTAAGTTATTTCTTTGGCCAGAGATGCTTTGATGTGCTCTGCTTCTTGGAGGGTAAACGTGCCCAGGGAGAACGATGGTGGGCGTCTGGCTAAGGAAAGGGATTTCTATGAGAAAATCTTGGCTTTGCCCATCTCTTCCCCACCCGATCCTTATCCACGCCCGCTCAAGTCCCATCTCCTCTGCAAAGCTGGTCCAAACCACGGGACTCCTCCTAACTCACTGGACTCATAATCAGGCTCTGTTGCTTACATCCCATTATTCACGATGATTAAGTCTCCAACGTAGTGACATCACAGTCAGATTTGGAGAAAGAGATCTTAGAGCCTCGAGTCATTTTACAGAGCCAGAAACTGAAGCCCAGAGAGGGTGCACGCCTGGCCATGGCCACACAGCCAGCGTGGGCTGTCTTCTTAACCAAAGGCTTCCCGAGGTCAGGCCCAGGTCCTACAGTTCTCGGAGCTTCCCACAGCACAAGCCCTCGGCAGCCACTCAAGAAACAGCTAACTCGGAAGCCTCATAAAAGATGTCAAATAAGAAAGGCAATAGAGAGGGCCACTCAGTAGTGAGTGAAGAGGAACAGTAGAAAAGGAACACAGGCAGGAAAGGAGGTGAGAGCAGCCGAGCAAGTGCTGAGGTAGGAAGCGTGGAGCAGGGACGGGAACAGCAGGTGACGCTCAGGGGGCAGACGGGGAAGAGCTGAGGGACGGAGGGCAGCGTGACGCACAGGAGAGAGCACTGTGCCTAGAGTCAGACCACCCGAAACCACTGCCTGCCCTTGAGGACCACTGCCCAGAGGGCTGCGCACTTCTGCTTACAAGGCCTCAGTTTACTGATCCACAATATGGGGCAGTGATACTTACCTCCCAAGCCTGACGGCAGGGACACGGGGTAATGTTGGTGGAAATGCCGATCTCGGGGCTCGGCACATGGTAGGTGCTTGATAAACATGGAATTGAGGTCTGAAAGAGGACAGCCCACCTCCTCTGTCCTGGCCACCACTGGGCTGTCTCTTGGGGGAGTGTCCATTTTAATGGCATCTAAGGTAAGATGCTAGAGCTGTACTCTACCTTCTTGAGAAGTTACTTAACCTCTCTCTGCCTGAGTTTCCTTGTTGTATATTATGATTCATACTCACTTGGCATGGTGCCTCGCACAAAGTGAGCACTCAGTGCCTTTTAACTTTTGGAGTGTACAGGAGGTGATTAATAAATGCTTCCTGGCTTAATGAGTGTGGGTGGGCCGGCTTTGCCCCACTGCCCACTCTGAAGACTGTGAGGGGAGAGGACGGGGCTGAATGAATGATGCACGCAGGAGTGGGGAGGAGAGGGAGAAGCAAAGAGGAGGCTGCCTCTGCTCCCCGACAGCAAGAAGAGAGTGGGGCCAGGCGGCCATAGCGGATGAGGCAGCCCCCCCAGCAGGAAGTGGAAGACGCAGAAGAGCTGGCGTGGAGCTTTAGGTAAGACCGCCTGGCCTTCAGGTTCCCGTCTGCATTTGTAGCTCATGACCTTGGGCAAGAACGTCGAGCCTCGGGCTCCTCATCAGTCAAATGAGGGAACCGTCTATTTCATAGGCGGCTGTAGAGACTAAGTAAGCGAGTGCAGATAAGTGTAGCACAGAGCCTCATCTATGGTAATCCCTCGGTAGTTTTATATGGGTAACTAGATAGTTATTTAGTTCTAGTTACAATGGTAATATTAGGTTGCCTGCAATAAGACTTAGGGGAGAGTCACAATGGCTCCTAGCCCCACCCCTCCACCAACCCCCCAAAATACCAGGGCCGCTCCTCCAGAGACTAAGACAGAAAAAACTCAGCCTCGGTTCATTCCTGTTGGTATTGGCAGAACCAGTGGAGACGCCAGAAAGCGCCTGCTGACTACACAAGGCTATGAGGTTTCCGTGTTCACATGGAGATAAAGGGAAAAAGAGGGAAATGGCAGCCGTCACTGTCTGTTTCCTTTTGGACTCAAAGAATACAGCTGTGTTCTTTTAATTACAACCGGGACAGCTCTCAACTCCTCCGACATCTCAGGTTACATTCGTTTAAGCCATGTCTGAGGAAGGTTGCAGACACTCCTGTGATGCCTGTAACTCATCGCCTCCTTGTTCTCATCAGTCTCCCGACTGCACTCTGAATTCTCAGGAACATGAGCATTTGCTTAAAAACGCAGGTCGTTCAAAGTGCAGACCAAAAAGTTTCAGTTCTTTATCAAAGAATCCCAGAATGAAAAAGAGCTATCAGAATAGAGAGTATTTTCCAAATCTAGCCTTTAATGGCCCTATTTTCATTTATTTTCCCAAAACATTGGTTTCATACTATTTTCTACTTACTGACCATCTGCTAAAACAGACTGTTAAATCATTTGAAGTATAAATCTAACTCTTAATAGGAGACCGCTTCTTCCCTCTGCCCCCCCAAGAAAGGAGGAGGAAGAGAAGGAAGGAGGAAGAGAAGAAACAGAGGAAGAAAAGGATGAAAGAAAATAATTGATGCGTTTGTGTGTTTGGGAGGCAGAGACTCGAGGAATTTAAATACCTTTTCCCATCCCCATCTTCATTTATCTTTCACAAATGGCAAAAGCACATTCATTGTGGAAAGATCTCAGAGAATACACATATCGATATGACATCAATTTACCAGCGTTTAAGTATTAATGGCATTCTCTGCACAAAGCGCTGCCCCTTCCATTCACATTGGATTAAGTTCATGATGTCAGTGGGACTCTTACAATTAAGCCTCGCTCCCACTGGAATCAACAGATTTTTACATAGCTATTTATAGCACTTGCAGAAAATAAATTATACATGATGCCGATCCTATTGGGAGAGAGACTGCACATTAATGCATTATTTCTCTTTGCATTTTCATCAGCCCTGAAATAGGGAAGCTAACAGGACAATTAGGATGCAAAATTCACTCCCTCTAAGGAATTTAGTGAATTATCCACCTAACACAGGAAATCATGAGTAGGTAACACAAATTTTTGAGGTGGTTAAAAATAGACTTGAAGCAGAGGGCTATGGAAGGACTGTGATTAATCTAGAGAGCTGAAGCCGTCCAGTGGTGGCTTTGTGGTGTTAATTACACCCCTGTGCCAGGAACAGAATGGTAACAGTATCTTCCTCTCCCTGGGAAGAACAGTATCTTCCTTTCCTTCCTCTACCTGAAGAATTTACTGTTTTTCTGAAAATCTGAGCTCAGAGGAAAATGATGCACTCAGAAAACGTGCTTCTTCCCAATTCTTTAGTAAGGATGCGATAACAGTACCATGACTCTTGGATTTGGCTTTCCATCTCCCAACCATCCTCACATATTTCCTCCCCAGCCTTTAACAGAGCGTCAGAGGATGAGGTTTGGTCAGAGCAGAAGATAGGAACCCAAAAAACTCAAAATGGATCGAGCTAGTTCTTACAAGGCAAGGACTATATTTGGGGACAGGTCACAACTTGGTTGCGCCATTTTTTCATGATGGAAGCAACTGAGCAAAAGCTAATTTGTTCATGAGTCTTAAAGGGATAAAACAATAGCAAAGAGAGAATCATCACCCCTCTATTACCAGGGAGGAGTGCTGACTTTCTAAATTTTAGTAGGAAGCCTGTTAGCAAAGACAAATATACAGAAGACAGAGAATTCCCTAAAACGTGTTAGGGGGCTCACGCTGTCTCGTGGATTCTGGGTTTAGGACAGATGTTGACACCTGGCTACCTCGGTTCCAAGCCCCCTCCATTCCTATAACAATTCTCAGAGCCCGGATCATTTTCATAACCATCCCCAGAGCTCTAAGGTCAGAAATCACGTTTTCTCATATAAATTATTCCCAGTTCCCCAAGACCCCCTATAGCCCATGTCATTTCTCTTGGACATTGGCAAAGTTTTCGCACATTATGGCCAGGTGTGACCAGAATAATGGAAAAGCTGCTAACTTCACCTTAGAGTTTAAAGGACTCTCCAGAAAAACGGGAGAAGAGGCAGAGAGGAGACCCAGGGAGCGCTGGTTTAGCATTTAATATCAAATGGCCTTGAATGCCACCTTTTGGTGCAAATGCCTCTGACTTCGACCTCTGATTTATTGCAGCGCTCTACCATACAATAAATAACCTCCTAGTGGCCTCGGCTGCTAGAGGGCACCTGTCATTACACAGCTGAATAAGCCTCTGTTCAATGATGAAAGACAAGGGCATTTCCATAAGATTTCAGGTTTTCTATCAGAAGAGAACAGAACTTGTAGGGTCCCTCACTCACAAAAATATCTAGAAATAATTTTTACCCTGTGAGGTTTTGTTTGCTTATTTGTTTAGAGGGAGGCAGTAGGACCAGCCTAAATCTGATACTTTGTGCTTGGAATTTTTTTGTCTTTTGAGTTTCTGTAACTATTTTCTCAGTTCTCATTTCTGTGGCTCCCACTGACATGCCTTGAGGCTTTGTAGATATCAACTCACAACTTAAATGTTTATTTTTACAAGTCTGGTAAGCAGCTTTCATACTGTGGATTGATCCACTCTCCTTTAAAACCTGGCTTTAGAAGCTCTAGAAACTCCATTTAAGCCTTTCATATGGAGACCCTCACCTGCTCTCCACGAGATGTGACAGTTGAGGCTGCTAGTGTTTTATTTTTATCTTATAACTGAAAAACGTATAAACTGAAACCTTGAGGCAGTCCCCGGAGAACAAAATCAAACTTTCTTTACATTTTTTTCTTCAATGTGAGTTTTGTCTTTTGATAACTAGCTGTTAAGTTATATTTCTACTTTGCTATTGGTTATAATTTACCTAGTTATCTCTTCTTACATGGAACTATGAAAGCAATTTATAGATTTTAAAGTCTGGTATTTATTAGTTGAATTTTCAATAAACTTCATATTATTCATTCAAGAGAACAGGGACAACAGTGGCTCATGAGAACAGTAGTTTAGGCCTCTCTGCGCTGGCTCTCCATGAAACCTAGACTGATCTGAAAATCTTTTTATGCTGAACTCACTAGTTTATACTTTGACCTTTAAAAAAAAATCTTTCAAGAATTTTGAATTTTGTAAAGATCAAAAAGAATCAAAATTAAAGCCAGTGCAGTTAACGAAAATCCTTCCAAACTGTTGAGATACTTTCTTTACCGCATCAATTCACTTCTTTTAGAATGCTTAAATTTTCTCTAAAATAATTTTGATAGAAAACTTTTACATCCACTTTTCCCCACTCCCTGTTGATGATCTAAAAGAAAAACAAAGGAATTATTCTAAATGCCAGGCTTTAATGATAGAGTTTCTGAATACCTGTAGTTGTGCATTCGTAGTCAAAGCTGGTCACATCATTTAGCTTCTTTTCCTGATATTGTGGTGGACCAATACAGAGCACATCAGAAACGGTGGAATTTGTCATCTTCAACCACAGATACAACCACTTGGCTTTGCAGTCACATTCAAATTTATTGCCCCTTAAATCTCTAAAAAACAAAACAAAACACAAGCACACAGAGAAATAGACATATCTGAAATGTTTCAGCAGTAATATGAAACTCCAGAATTATTAACATCCTAATATATTTAATTTCCCCCCAAAATGGAATTTAAAAAAATTTTGTATTTAACGCATCCTATTTCTTGTACCTATCACTGACTTTATTTAACGCTGTTCAGTGTCCATGATTTTAACCACACAGCCTACAGAGAGCTCTCAGAGCCAACATATCACATTTCTCCAAACCCCTTTGAAACTGTCACCATGCCAAGCTGGAAATGCAGGAGGGATGAAAGAAAAATACCAGCCGACACAGGTTCTCACAAAAAAAAAAAAACAGGATATTATAAGAAGACGGTTTTCACAAACACAACAGAAGCTTTAAGATCTTGTTAAACTACGTCCAGTAGAAGATAAAGCAGATAGATACACCATCTCAGGGAATGAGAGAGCCCAGCGCTACTAAGTATACTATTAAATGGCAAAATCCAACACAATACAAACTACATGCTGTTTCTCAGCAGGCACTAGTTTGTCATAAATTTTTAGCTACAACATAAAAGAAATGCAGTAAAGGGAGAGAGGGGATTTAAAGACGTAATTAACTGGGACACAATGACAAACACACACAAACTTAATTTTCATTACTTACAGTTCAATCAGGGAGTCTAAATCACTGAAGACATCCCGTGGGAGGGCTTTGATGTGGTTATTGGCCAAAGAGCTAGAACAAGAAAGTCACATTTTAATGTGGTTATTGTCTTCATGCCCTGTCCCACTGAAGTCCCTTCAATAAAGCTGATGGTTTAAAACAGAGCTCTAAACCTCTTCAGCACAACGTGGTTCAATTTCTGGCTTTGGTCATGGATAATGAGATAAAGAAACGAGTTTAGTTATACAAAGATAACATTATAGATGCTGGAGTACAAGGTAAATTTTTTGTTTTGTTTTTAAAACTAGCATTTATTAAGCTCTTTATATACATTTGTTAAACCTCAGATGGCATCTCATGTTTCTCAGAATAAAAGCCAAAGTCCCTTTGATGTCGTGCAAGACCCTCCATGGTCTAGTTACCTCCATTCTCGCTTACCTACAAGATCATGTCTCAACTACTCAGATCACTCACCTGACCTCTTCACTATTCCTCACACAAGCTAGGCATGCTCCCACCTCAAGGCCTCTGAACACCATGTTCACCTGCCCGGAACAGTCTTCTCCCAAGACACCACACAGCTCACTTCACCACCTCCTGTGGTCTGTCCTCTACTATCACCACCTTCCCTGACCTCTACACATCTCCCTTCCATGCTCTGTGGATCTCACTGCATGACCATCACTTGGCATACTATACATTTTAATTATCTATTTCTTTATTGGCTATGTATTCTCTCTATACATAAACAACATGAGGACAGAAATTTTTGACTGTTTACATCTGTATCCCCAGCTCCTAGAACAGTGCCTGGAACATAGTAGGTACCCAGTTAATCTTTGTTGAATCAATGAATTATGCACTAAAATGACAATGATAAAAAAAGACGCAGAGGGGCCGGCCCCGTGGCACAGCGGTTAAGAGCACGTGCTCCACTGCTGGCAGCCCAGGTTTGGATCCCAAGCGCACATCGATGCACCGCTTGGCAAGTCATGCTGTGGCGGCATCCCACATAAAGTAGAGGAAGATGGGCATGGATGTTAGCCCAGGGCCAGTCTTCCTCAGCAAAAAGAGGAGAATTGGATTGGCATGGATGTTAGCTCAGGGCTGATCTTCCTCACACACACACAAAAAAAAAAGAATCAGAGTCTCATCCCAAGAAGTTTCTCAATGGTGAATTCTATTACTTGTGACTCTAAGAAAGGATTCCATAAATACTCTTTTACATAAAGACCGTCGGCTCTAATCCCAACCATAATATAAAACCTCTATGAACCACAATGTTTAGAGAAGACTGATTGTGATCAGTTTCATTTTCTCATTAATGAAAGTTGACTAGAAACCATTTTGCATTTATGCTCTTGGTGTTGACTATCTTTCTGAAGTGTCCTAGTCCATTCCCCATCTCCAGGAATTAGACTTGAATGAACACCGTCAACTCTTTCTCCAATGATTCAGGATTATGCAGTGCCCTCTCATCATCCTGCTGAAGATGAACATCCATGGTTCTGGACTGTTGACGTGAAAGATGCTGGGAGTTGAAATGATGTCCATCAAGCCTGTGATTTCCTCCAGGCATCATGCTCTAATGTGAGTCAGCCAAGAAACCGATGCCTACTTTTATTTTCTTTTATACTCATACGAGAACAAACAGCAAAACATATAAATGATAAAGATGTAGGCAATTCAGCTCCAACATCTTTAAAAATATATATGAAATTAGTCTTTTGTAGCATGATAATGACCCATCCCAGAAAGAGAAATTAAAGAAATGGGTATTCCTCCTTAGACTCAGCTAGAGCAGGAAGCTTTGAGCCCATTTTTAATCCAAACATTCTTGCTTCAAGACGCCAGGAGAACACGGGGAGACCTGTGGTTTCTGAATTACGCCCCTTCCCATCTAGGTAACCACAAATGGATTACAATACAATTTCACGTAATTTTACCTTTCTTTCCTAAATGATTTATTGGTACATCTTAAAGGATGTTGTAAATAGGCTAAGTATGTAATCAGACTGAACATACTGTAGAAGTAGCTTTTTGAAATTAAAAAAGGAGATTCTTGTTTTGATTTTTTTCCTGGTTGATGGTCATTTTCTCTAGAAAGTACAAAATTTTTTAGCTAATTAAACGTTAATTATTTACCTGACAATGTTTAGGTAAATGAAATATACTGTATTGAAGTGATAAGAATACATGGATTGGTTAAGGCCGACAAAGCAGCAAGTTCAGCAACCGTCCCAAGTGTTCCATCGAGATTGCAGGAAGCTGGATTATTTAGACGGGCCATCCACCCCACTCACACTCAAGGCATAACATCTCACTTTCCACTTCATTTTCTCTACAAATTCACAGCACTTACTTCATGTCTAAAACTACTTAAGAGTGACCTGTCCCTTGGGCTCTACAAGACTGCTGGAGAACAAATGTCCCAGACTTTAGTTACAGATTGGCACCGCTCCTTCAATGCTCTGAAACCTGATCTATGTTTCTTTACATACAAATGTGAGTCTGTAGGTGCTGCAAAAGTTCATAAAAGATAAAAATAAGATACTTAAGCAAATTCCAGATAGTAACTTCCTTGAGCACACGAGTGAACTTTAGAGAGCTGATGCGTTCTCTTTGCTTAGAAGTTTACAGAAAAGTGAGGGGAAATGGAAGGATGGGTTCATTCTTTCAACAACATATTAAATGATTTAATGACTACATACATCTCCAGCCTAGAGGAGTCAACTTTAAAAGTCACTGTCTCATCCAGAAGTAGAGGACATATGGAAAATCCAGCTCAGTAAGGAACCCATCAGTCAATCAGCAAACCAGAAAGAATGTCCTAGCTTTGCGCTGTGCTAGATGCTGGGGGAAGAGCGGAGCTAATGGAAGATCCACGTGGGCCCTGCTCTCAGGGAGCTTTCAACCAAGCTGAGGAGATAAAACTAACATCCATGAAATCGCACCAACCAGCATGGCCAGTGCCTACAGTAAAGCGCTGGGTGTGTGGAGCCAAGAGGGAGGGCTACACGAGGGGTGGAAGGGAGGTCAGGAATGGCTCCATGGGGGAGACAGAACTTAATCTGGACTTTGAAGGAAAAGCAGATTCCAGGAGATCGCAGGCAGAAGAAACAGCATCCTAGGCAAGAGAAAGGATGTGAGGAAAAGCCTGGACATGGGATGAGTTGGGTGCGCATGGGGGCCCACTGAGAGCCCAGTGTTCTGAAGACTTCAGGGAAATGAGGCTGGAGAGCTGGGAGAGGGGGGCCCTATAGGCTTGACTGTAGGATGGCAATACATGCCGGGGCGGGCCTAGTTCTCCTCTAATGCATCAGATGTGCTCTGGACCCAAGCAGAAGACTCCATTGTTCCCTCTGTGCTCTCTGCCTGTCACACGGAAAAGGAGGTGCCTCTTACACATACGCATACGTGATATACACATATGGCATGCAAATGCACAAACGCACACACAAACAGTTATGTATCCACATGTATAGAAGTCCATGCACCCATGGGCACACATGTACAAAGATATACAAATATACATGCACAATAAGTGCATGTCCACACTTGTTTTCAGACAGGGGACCCACAGCCAATTGGTCAAATGAAAGTTAATATCCGCACTAACTCAACCAGTCACACGGGCTTTGCTTTAGGTTCATAACCTGCCCAGAGCCTTTGCTCAGAAACAAAGCCCCTCATTCCTGACTTCTGGGAACCGGATTTATCCGGTCACAGCTGTTCCTATCCAGACACCCACAGCTGTCTTCTCAGCAGATCCTGTCTAGCCACCCAAACTGCCAAGGCTACTCAGCAGTCCGTGCAGAAACTTGAGAGTTCTTAATGAGTGGAGGGAGGGAAGGATGCTGTTGTTGATGATGATATGACGATGATAACAACCACAACCATACCTCGAGCATTTACCATGGGCAATGGGCTGGATGCTTTGCAAGCAAGCATTAACCCACCATGTGCAGCAATCCTATGAGGTCAATATAATCATCCCCATTCTAAGGATGAGGAAACTGAAGCTCAACAGGCTTAGCAATAAAGCCTTGAGATTTGAACCCAAGTCTATGTGACTCCAAGCCCATTGTCTTAGCTTCTACAGGAATGTGGGGATTTGGCACCTAAGTTGAATTTGAAAAAACATCAAGGCTTTTACAGGAAAAAAAGAAAATCTGGAGTAATAATGCCAACTAGAGTCTGACGCTCTCCAGGATCAACTGCTGATCCAGATGTTCGGACCTCCCACTTCTGTTCCCTCATCTCCTTACTCTACGAGCTTTAATTGAGGCAGAGCTTCTGCTTGGTAGGATTCCAGAATCAAGTGCTTGCTAAGCCTGTTGACAGACATCTTTGCCTACATCAGGGCTTCATGTGAATGATTACCTCTTTAGATGCTGTATCAGTCAGGGTTACACACGCTGAAGGTACTACCCCCCGCTGCCCAACACCCCCATGCAAAGCCCTCCAATGTTCCCAATTTTCTTTTTACTACAGACAAGCTGGCAATGGAGATGAGACATGTTATCTTAAACACAAACTATCTATCATGCAAGTGGGACCTGGTTCCTGGCTAATAAATTGCTCCTACCATGACAATGACTATTTTTACATTTTCATAAATGCAGCCACTATTTTTTACAGTTTTCTAAATTTGCTAAGTGTGTATACTTGCTTCATTCTGATATGCCAATTCAAATCAATTTGTTTAACTTTTTTCTCCAGAAAGCTATTAAAGAACCCAGAGAGCTTAGCTTAAGCTGCAGATTAATTCAACATAAAAGAAAAACCTATTTGCATTCAAATTAGAGGAACCACAAAATGTCTCTATTCCACCTCGTCCTAACTTTGATCTTGCATTCAACATTCTTCAATGAGTCACTTACGTCTCAGTTTCCAAATCGGTAACATGGGGACTCACAGATTATCATGAAAGATAAAGAAGAGGTTCACTAAGCACCCAGCCCTGTGCCTGGCACACAGTGGCGTACGATACACGTTAGCTTCCTTCCCACCTCCTCCATCACTGGACACAGGCCCCTCACGGCTCAGAGTGCTCCTTAATTCACATGCAGTCACGTGGTCCATAACAACGATTCAGGATGATGGAAAAGATAATAAAGCCAAGTGTGAGAGTAATCACAATGGGCAAGTGTCTGATCGACAATATAGAAACCTCTCGGACAACCTGGAAATTAGCTTCCTTCAGAAAATATTACAATATGAACAAAACAGTCAATATGAACAAAACAGTCAAGTAAGAGACAGGCACCAGGAAGTGAACCTTACTCTACACATTAAAGAATTTACAACACTTTTCACAGGACTTACAGGTGAGTCAGGTCACGGAGGCCACGAAAGGCATTTCTTGAAATGGTTTCTATTTTGTTCCCCTCAATGAACCTAAGGAGAACAGCAGTAATGATTAAACTGAATTTTCTCTGCTTAACATCTGTAAAAAATGACATTGGTATGCTTTCGGAATAAAATCTAAAAGCATTCATGAATTTTAAAAATTCCACTCTGAAGACCAGGTCAGCTACAACAGATTCCAAGTGGGAGCTGGGTGTGTGCAAGAATGCATGCACACAAGTGTATGTTCTGTACTCCTTCCAGAAGCAGCATGGAAGTCTTCAAATTCAGAATTGGCAACATGAGTAAAAACAGCTTGGGGAAAAAAAAAGAAGAAAGCACTATACAAAGGCAAGAAGTTCTGCAAGACTGGAATGCTTCCAGACATTCTCCGCACTCAATCCTTCTTACATCTCACAGTGCCTGGCTATTAACACTTTTGTTAATATCACTGTCCCTTGAGGGAGCCCATTGTTTTACATCCCCATATTAAAGCTTTTGCTGAAGGAGAATTCCATCAAGCTTGGCTTCTGGCAAACTTCAGTTCATCATGCCCTACACAGTCTAATCTCTGAACAAGTGGGTGACAGAGCAAGAAGGCTCTCCAGATCTCTAAGCCAGTAGGCAATAGGAAGTATAATGAAGGTGCGTATGATCCAAACTTCCTTCTCTCTGCTAAGATGTCTTAGAGCTTGCACACAGGACCTTGCAATAATAACTCTGGCCACGCTGTCAAGTCTTCATGGAAACATATGAAGTGAATGCATTATGACTATTCCCTAGGACCCAGAGAACTAAATTTCAGTTTACGGCATCACGTTACGTCAAATGTAAAGGGGTCTTTGAGGAGATGGTCCAAGGGAGAGGCTTTGCAACACGATGCCATTAGTTAGTAAAACAGTTCTTGATTCTCATACTGACAACTTTCTGAGGTCTGTTTCTTAAAAATCAGGGGTCTATTCAGTAATAGACTTCAGTATAAACTGATAAGCAAACTTCCTCCTCAATAACCTTGACAGTAAAATGAACTGCTTGTAAGAGAAAACGGATAGCTTTACATTCGCTACCTCCCTCGGCTGCTAACATGCTGATAGAACCTAGTTGGACTTAGTACTCCAGGAGTACCATGGTTTCCATACTACACATGCTATCAGAGTATCAGGAGAGCATACACATTATGTGTCCTCTGGAGAAAGATTTCCTCCAGAGACACCTTTCCTGAGGACATAAAATCAGCAGCATTTTCCTAGACCCAGGATGTGTTTAGAATTCAAACATCTACCTGTTAACCTCGGATAAGAAAGCAGAGACAAAGCTTTAAAAATCCCTCTGAACGTTAAGTAGGGAAAGCCCATCAGATAGCAGGATTAATATTATTACAAAGTTACAAAAGACAAGGATGAAAGAATTTAAGGGGAAAAAAGACATGAAAGGGGGAAAAGACAAATCAGAAAAGAAATCAGAATAAGGGCAAGCTCATTGCTAGGGGAAAAAACTGCACATCTAAAAAGGGAAAAATAACCTTTTTTTTAAAGGAGAAAAAATAAAATTAGACCCTCAACAGTCACTCACAGGAGATACTGCAAACAGGATATAGAACAGCTGAATTAAAGACATGTAAATAGGGAGACTTTATTTAAAAATAAGTAACCCTCAGAATCCTTCAGCTTTCTTTCTGGCTGATCAGCAAATCCATGCCTAGTTATGAGAGGTAAAAATATCCAACGCAATTTCCAATTGTGCTTACTACACCACAAACTAAATGTCAGCAGAGAATGAATGAATATCTTTCCTCTTTGTCTCCTCTTCCCGTCTTTGTCTCCAACCTCCTCCTGCCCCAGCATGTTTATACACAAGTGAACTATAAAGGGTCAGCGCTGAAAAGAGAAGGGGGTTTTCTCCATCATCTCCACCTCTCAGCTCTCAAAGAGATGCTGTTCCAGCTTGGAGAGCAATACAGCAATTCTACTGAGATACCAAATGCCAGGCAAATAGACAAAGCAGAGAACTTACAGGTACTCGAGATGAAAAAGTCCAGCAAAAGCATCATCCCGGATGGCTGTAAATGAGTTAGAATTCAGCAATCTGAAAATAAAGGATAGATCTCAATGCAGAGATGTAAAACTGGAGGCACATAGTGAAGCCCTTTCTGTTCCTTTTGGAATGTTCTGGTCTGTGGGCAAACACGGGTTCTTCTCAGCCTAAGACTGGCCCATTAGGTGCACAACCTGACTCATGGATGCTCATGGACGGACGATGGCAAGTAGATTCCTTTTGGCTAGATTTTCTGGTCAGCCCCGTTACTCCACCCTTTCTCCCCTGCGGGTCTCAGTAATACGACCTGATAGCTGTTTCAAAACATTCTAATGCTCAGCACAACTAAGCAGCCAGTGAATGCTTTAAGATAACACAAGCAATTATTAAAATTAGAGAACTAAAAGAACCTAATCCAACTCTATTTTTAGAAAAACTTGAGCCAGAGATGTTAAGTGACTTGACCAAAGTCACACAGCTGAGACAAAAAAAAAATTCTTTCTACCATATTATACGTTTCTATGAGAATTAATAAAAAAGTTTAAGAAATCTTCAGCAGACTATTTATCAGCACGTAATTTTCTATGAGTCACCACTTAAGTCTACTTGGTAATTATATAGTCTACATAGTCACCACTTAAGTCTATTTGGTGAGATACCTAAAATTGTATTTCCACCATATGGAAAGTATATTTTAATAAAACTACAATTTCTAAGAAATTATAGATTTTTAAATGTTAAGTATAATGTTATAAGTAGGTACATAACATTTCAAGAACAAAAATATCAACATGACGTTATTTAGGATTCCAGTTCTCCATATTTTTCTGTAATATGTCGTTTTAATTTTGATCTCATCTCAGACTTAAGAAACTAATACAGATGAAGAGAATGAGCTACGTACTCATGACTTTGCCCGTCACTGACTTGCTTTTGAAAACTGCTTTTTGGACATTTCTTTTCCACAAACATTAACTGACCTGGGCTCCTGGTCATGACATAGGTAGTGGCCAGGAGTGGCCGGATGCAGAGCAGTTACGACTAGGGGTTAAAATTCTGGCTGTGAGTTTGCGGAAGTCACTTAACTTCTCTGAGCCTCAGTCTTCTCATCTGTCAAATGGGGAAATAAAAATACCCTCTTCACAGGGATGATAGGATGAGTAAATAAAATTTTGCACATAAACAAATAGTATGCTGCCCAATAGTTTATGTACTCAGTCAACTAGAAATACTTCTATTTCCAAAGTAACATTAAGAGTTTAAAATGTAGGTTTTCCTTTAAAGGGAGGTTTTGGGGAAACAGTTCGTTTAAGAGAAATTCAGGTCATAATTCAATGAAATCAGGTCCCCGGTTGCCGGATACGGGAGTTGGGATCTACAATAAAGTCCTTGAGGAAAACATGTGCCAAAAGAAGGAAAGGACACAGAGCAAAGAGCCTTGGGACTCGGCTCAGTGGGGACACCACAGGGCAAGTTAACACTAAGAGCAGCCATGGTTTACTCGGGTATTTTAGGAAAGACTGACACCAAAGAGGCAGAGATGGCTCCTCCTAGGACTGCACCTCCAGAATCCCCATTTTCAGAGAGAACGTCCCGTACTCACAGCAGCTGCAGGGAAGGCAGATGGGAAAACATCCGGTCCTTGATTTCCGAAAACGTTCCATTTACCAGGCTCCTGCAGGCAGAAGAGGAACAGAACGAGGTCTAGGTATTTTTTTAGAAGTGCCAAGCAGGGTGGGCAACCGGTCTCATCCTCTACCTGTATTTCAACTCCTCCTCAGGAACAAGGCTTAGAACAGTTGGCCAGGGGCTTCTCAGGGGAAGGAACGAGAAGAGTCAAGCCATTTTCCAATGAACTGGATCAATATGAAAACTAGTCTGGATAATAGAAACCTTCACCATCAGTCTAGCTCCTTCCACAAACATTATCTCAGCCAGTTTAAATCAATCCCCTCGCTTCCTTTTCTTAACTACAGGAGGCCCTGACTGAAAATGGATAATTACTTCACTTCTGCCCATGATTCTGTTTGTGTAGACACAGCGTTAATGTTGGCCGATGAAACTCCAGGGTAGGATTAAGCATTCCCCTTGGGAACACATCTCTGAAAGACACTCAGAGCACTTCTGATTAAATGTACCATGAAAGCCTTGGGGAAAATCTCAGAGACACCTGAACTTGACTGTGTGGTGGGAGGCAATGCCATCTGCCAGATATAATGGTCAATACAAGGGCAAGAAGCTTGACTATTTCTGCCACCAGGTCCCCTATCCTTTCTGGCCACAGCAGGACCTCAATACATTATTTCGGAATTACTTCAGTTAACATGCAGATCGATTCAGCAGCTGCTGGTCTAAAAGGATTTAACAAGGGGAATTCTAATTTCTGGAATCCTCCATGTCACCCGACTTCGCAATATTAGGAATCAAAAAGGCCCTCTGCTCCTGCCAGCCAGACTTCTCCTGACTTCCTATAAGTGCCAAAAGGAACCCCTTCACTCCTGGGTCCAGGCCCCTGCACCTCGCCTAGGGTGGGAGGCAGGGGAGTGCAGTACAAGAGGAAGTGCCCTGAGCATGAGCGACTTCACCCCGGGGATTCCCTGCCTCTGTGACTGAGTGGGCATCACCCCAACCCCCTACCTGGAACAAAGGGGTCGTTTCAGCAGGAAACATTTCCCAGCAGTAAAGATATAGCCCAATAGCCCCTTCCAGAGCCATTATGAGAGCTGGTCATGTGGCTTGAGCGGCTGTGTGAGGGCAGGTTAACAAGCATCTCTTAGCAGGTGGATAAATAACGTGGAGGTCTTTCCTGTCAGTCCCTCCAGCGCTGAACAAGCAGCCAATATAATGTGTGGTGGGAGGGGGAAAAAGCCCTTGTGAACTCAGGGCAACAAGTCAGGCTGCCTGCCAGCACTCGGCCAGTGGGCAGAGTGTCCCACATGCCCCAGTGCTCTGCCATGCCCTCTGTGCTCCCCTCTTCCAGGCCACATGGGGCAGCCCCCCACTCCCAGAGGCTGCATGCCTTTACCCAGGTTCTTCTCAACCTGCAGTGTGGACAAGTCTGGCGGAGGCCATGGTGAACCATCTCCACAGACCCGAGGTGGGACAGTGAGGCCTCACCCCTTGCCAGCTGTACTCACTCCAGTCATGCTCACTGGATACACACACCCCGATACCCACTCCCCCACATACACCCATCCTCTCAAACTTTAATGCACCGCAGAATCACCTGGGGACGCCAAATGCAGACTCCAAGGCTCCACTCCAGAGACCCGCTTCATTCAGCGCGGGCCCGGGAATCTGCATTAGCACAAGCTCCCCCAGTTGGGTCTGATGCAGAAACACTTTGAGAAACACTGCCACAGGGACTTGTCAGGGTTCCCAGACTCTGGGTCTCGGGTTCCCTCCATTCTCCCCAGGGCCCCAGACTCCACCCACGCCCCTTAGCTCACCCCCACCCAAATGCAAAGAACAGGGCTGGGGAGTGGGGTCAGGGTCGCGCTGTCCCAGCGCCAGAGGCAACTCCCCGGCGGCGGCGGGCGCAGGGTGGGGCGGGGACTGGAGGGGTCCCACTCACTCACAGGGAGCTGATGTCGCCCGGCACGGTCCTGGGCACCCAGGCAGAGCCCACGCAGATGATGGACTCCTTGGTACAGCTGCAAGTGGCGGGGCAGCGCGCCAGCCGCCTCACCTGCGCGCTGGGCGGGATGAGGCACGCGGCGCTCAGCAGCAGC